GAAAACAAAAATGCCGCAATAATTGAAATTACAAAACGCTGAAAATGCACATGGTATTAGTTGTACTCTCGAGATATTTNACGGTGCCTTTGGAATCTTGTTCGTTCCACATAAAATTGCGTATAATCTTCCACCTAAAAATACCTACTCGTTCAACATTTATACAAATATACATTCATGTGCATGACAGCATGAGTGAGACCACCCATAGGCCATAGCCCTATGATTTATTATTCTTCACAATATTTTGTATGATGTTTGATCAAATTGATTTTTTTATGTACAATAATATTATTTTCTCCACGCTCGACGTTCATTAGATGATTTTGAACATCAAAACAAGTCGTTTTGAGCTAATTGTGTAATTGAGTATCATTTGAAGTACTTCAAAATGAGTTAAATCTGATCTTTTTAAGAATCGTTCAATCATTATTTAGAACAAATATACATATTGTCATATATAAGCAAAAATAAGATATTTTTTAAGAAAGTATATATTGTTTGTGTTACAAATTAAATAGAATATCACTTGTACTCATACGCAAAATAACTTTTTAGCAGCATTTGTGATTTGAATATTACTCCATAAATTCGTGAAGAAAATACATTATTAATTAGTCAATTATATATTGTGGATAGCTAATGTACTATTGAGTTGCGGAGGATGCTTGGATATAAATTATTTTGGTTTCGTTTGGATTTTTTTGTTTGATATGGTTTTTTTTAAAAAAAGTGGTATGGTTAGTTGTTAATAAGATTTTTAATTTATATTAAAATAATATTTAAAATAAAATAACTAAACTTGATTCGATTTAAAAATATGAGAGACATGATGTGATGAAGTGATGGTTAGTTAAAATTATGTGAGTAAATAAATAGTGAATCAAATTTGTATGCAATAATTATTGATTGATAGTATTATTTGTTTATAATGATTATATTGAGAATAGTAGGATTGAGTTAAAATTAAGTTAAGAAAAATAATTAATTAAAAATGCTTGAATTTTTTAGAGAAATTTGTATCCAAGCATTATAATGATCACGATTCATCAAAGAACTAGCATGTGGCTTGTTTGGATGGTAGGTAAACAAACCTAAATTAATTAGTACATGCAAAAAGATAAAATAAAATGTTTGGGGCCAATTATTAATTAACAAAAAGTTTGGTTAGTTAAAAGTTGGTGGGTGGTGTTGGTGTTGGGCATCTTAATGGGGATTGGAGAGTCATAATCACATGTACTGCACCCACATCTTATGGAATTCAACAAATGAACTTTAGACCACCCAACCAAAATTAAAGTCGTTATTCAACCATAAAAGAAATTATTTAATTCGTATGTATTTTTTAGATTTAAAAATATCTTGGTCAATGTGATTCTATTGTTTACATTCATAAATTAGAACATACATGCATTTGTCAATAGTTTTTATTAAAAATAGCTTGAAATTCATGAAATGGAATTCATTTTCCTAAAATTGAGTTTCTCAGCTGCAGACATAACTACGGGTGTATTGGAGTATTGTCGAGCTGAGCTGTCTGAGTAGCATGTGCTCATTTAGTAAACGACCTGACTAGACCCGACTCGTTTAACAAATATAAAACTTTAAATAAATGGTTCGCGAAAAAAATTTGTTTTATTGTTTCATTAAAATCTATAAAATAAAAAAAAAATAAAATAAAGAACTATCAAAGGTTCGGCCAATTTAATAAACGGGCTCAATTAGTTGTTCAAATTTGACACATTTAAAACAATTGAATAAATTAAGTTTCGACTTTCAAACTGAGTTGTGGTAGAAAAAAAATAATAATTCTTAGACTAACTATTGAAACCAAAAAAGAAAAACAAATTTTTGGGAAGATTTCAAAATTAAGTTATTATTATTATTATTATTATTATGNTTTCTTTGGTCAAAATTCCTTTTAACTTTTTTGGACAGCCTTTTTTGTGCCAAAGCAATCACAGATAAATTTAGTAATTAGGTATGTCTCAATTAGCGTGTCCTATGTTGGCATCTAATATTTGATTGGATCTGATTTTGGTAAAAAGTTTATTCTAAATTTTATTCTTTTATACCCATGATAGTTTAAATAAATTGTGTGAAGAGTAAATCACTAATGCTAAATCTCGTGTAATATTGTCTCTCACTTAGGAACACATGAAAAATAATTATGGTTATTATTTTTCAAAATTAATCTCTAAAACAAGACATCGAAACTAAGAACATCTTCAATGACGCAATATGTCTACACTTTTTCTCATTATTTATTCTTTTCCTTTTTACAATCACCTACATGTTACTATTTTTGTTTGTTTGATTGGAATTCTAACATCTATATCTATATAAAAAGAATTACTATTTACTAAATATAGTAGCAAAAAAGTCAACGAGCATTTAATGCATACTTTATTTGGAAAGTTTTAAATATATGCATTAATTGCTTTAATATATACACATTTCCAAATCATATATGATCAAAAAGATTATTTCCTTGAATAATTTTATTATCATATGCAATAATTTTATTGATATTCATTATAATAAACTATAATTTGAGTTTTCATAATTGGTGTTGATAATATTTTTGTCAACATAACCATGAAAACAAATTTTAAGTCTTAACCATAATATTAATTTTTTTTTTCAAAAATGTTGACTTTCATCCTAAAATATTTATAAACAATCGTAACATGTTAAATAATTCTCCCTCTAACTAATTAGCCGAAATCCAGTTGGTGAATAATAATTTTTGATAATATTTTTTAACCTTTATTTAATTATATAAACAAATAATTTCTGTAAACTAAATAATTTACCATTTAAGAGATAATGATCACATCATTAAACAATTTATTAACGGCTAAATAATAAAATTAAAATATATTAATTATTCTTTACAGTTTCAATATTTGATTTATTTGTATATTATTGTCAACCACGATAATTTTATCATTTTTTATTTTTATTTGTTTCCATAATGAATTTATTGTAAAATATTTATTTATATTGCATAGTATGTTAAATAAACTAATAAAACCTTACGATGCAAATTAGAAAAATCTCTTGATTATATAAGAGTTTATTATTTGACAATTTGCTAAATCAAATTTTTTTAATTATTATGAGAAATTTTAAAAAACATGTGTGTGTATTTTATAAACATTTATACACAAAATTTTATTTTAAACTTCATTGCATAAACTAAGAAGAAGTAGACAACTATTATAACCTTTATAAATAATAATAATGACATTATATGACAATAAATATTATAATAAAATATTAATTGAGTATTAAATGGTGAACAAGAATAAAAATATTTTTTTTATATCGATGAATAAATATATATTGTAAAATTAAATTTATATTAGTATAACGTGTAAGCAGAATGATATATTAATTAATATGTCAACGTTATGACTAAAATAAATATCACTGATTGAAAGAAGTGAAAAATTGATGATACAACCCTATTATTTTTTGCCAAAATGTACAAGCCCTATAGAAATGACTCAATTAATATATGTGTCCCGTGCATCGCACGGGCTATGCACTAGTTCTTTTTAAATAACACTAACATTTTTTTCCCATACCATTAATTAGTGCAAATACTACTAATTAAAAGTTAAAACCCACCAACCCAACCTTCTAGAAATAGACGCTCTGATTTTGTCTTCTAACATCACATGCACTTCTAATTATACCAATTCTTTTGCTCCTTTGATTTTGTGTGCCCTTTTTACTCATCAACATACCTAAGTATGTAAAAAAAAGTCAAAGACATTGGAGTATAATATTTAGGCACTATTTTCTTTCTTTCTGTTCTTTTGTCTATTTCATATTGTCAATTTCATAGATAGAAACATTTTTTTTTTTTTTTTTCTGTCATTCTGTTACATGATTGTCAATGATGTTATTTGTGTCTTTTTTCTTCTTAAATTCAGCTCTCAAAACCAAGAGTATTATCTTTTTAACGACTATTTATGCTTGTTTCCATTGTCTTGATGAGAAGATAAACCTATACTAATTAATTAAGTCATGTTCTAATTATTACGGCGGTAATTGTTCCTAATAATTAGATAAAACCTAATTATTACGGCAGTAATTGCCATTTTTTATGTTATCCGATTACTGTTTATAATTTTCTTATCAAGTATGCCATTTCTTTTTAATATAATAATCAAAGCAATTATGAAAGAGGGTAAACAAGCCGATCTCCAGCGTTAACGAACCAAGTTATAAGAAATTACATAAAAAATACTATTTCAATCCTCGGCACGAGCTCGGTTCATCTTTCAAATTTTGAGTTTAATTTACGAGCGACTCATTTCGTTTAACTTTACCCTAATGTCCAACTGATCATAGGAGTTAATTCCAATCAGTCCATTGGGCCAGCCAAAAGTGGGTTGTTTTTAGGCATATCAACTAGGCCAGACTATTTGATGGGCTTTAAAACGCTTAAATAACTTTGGAGCCCAATAATTGGTGTTCTTTTACGATCGAATTTGTGAAACGGGCCTAACATTAACTTGTGCAACAGCTGGATATGGATAGGACTGAAAATTAGGTGTCAGTTGGCAAAAGCATCGGTACTTTTATGCCTCCCATTTGTCATTAATTGCCTTTAAAAATAAATATTTAATTACCAATGACAAAGACACGAGATTAAGAATAAAAATCATAGAATATTGTGCACACGAAGTGAAGGTCCTCAATAACTATGCGGATATGTAATAGTCGAGCTGAGCCCAAATAGCTTATCAAATTAAATTAAGTTCGACTCATAAAATTAACGAACCTAATAAATAAGTTCAAATTTGTTCGTTAACGAGCCTTAATAATTGAATTATAGTGATATTTCAATAAGTATGAAAAAACTTTATATTTTACGAAAATTATATCCTCCTAATCGATTCAAATTTTTTAAATTTGTATTTCAAATACCACCAAACTTCAATTCATTTTCCAAAGTAT